TTTTCCAGAAAATGTTTTCCAATTTTCTCATGTTTGGTTGGGCTAAATGTTTTGAAAAATGTTTTCCAAATCAACTCATTGTCCTCAAATTTAAGGAAAATGACTTCCCTTCTAAACTTAGGGAAAACATTTTCCAAAACTCTCTTCCAACGTCAAATTACAATTATTTTTTTGTTGAAAAAAACCAATTTATTTTGTCCCTACCCTCAAACCACCCCCCAAAAAAAATAAAAATAATTTTAAAGCTTGTTTTTAAATTCAATTTTTTTATCCCACCCTCACCCCTACCCCCGCCCCTCCCAAAAAAATATTAAAAATTATTTTTAAAAGATATTTCTAATTTCAATATTTTATTTTTTACCCCCCACCCACTACCCTCGCCCCCCCCCCCCCCCATCAACCCCCCCCCCTATTAGCCCCCAACCCCCTTCAAAAAGAAAAAAAATTAAGTTGGTTTTTAAAAAATATTTTCAACTTCAAATTTTTATTTTTTCATCCCGATCCTCGATAACCCATCCCCCTCTCCGGTCATCCCCCACCCCCCAAAAAAAATTGAGTTTGTTTTTAAAAAATATTTACAAATTCAAAATTTCATTTTTTCACCCTACCCTCTACCCCCACCCACCTCCTACCCAACCCCCCACCCACGCACCCCTAACCCCCCCCCCCCCCCCCAAAAAAAAAAAAATTGTTTTTAAAAAATATTCTCAACTTCAAAATTTCATTTTTTCATCCTACCCTTGACCCCCCCATCCACCTCCTACCCATCCCCCCCACCAGCCCCCCCCCCCCACAAAAAAATTAAGTTTGTTTTTAAAAAATATTTTTAATTTCAAAATTTCATTTTTTCATCCCTAGAACCCCCACCCACCCACCCCCTACCAGCCCCCCACCCCCCTCTCCAAAAAAAAATAAAAAATTTCAAGTTTGTTTTTAAAAAATATTTTCAATTTCAAAATTTCATTTTTTCACCCCTACCCTCGACCCCCACCCACCCACTCCCTACCAGCCCCCCACCCCCCCTCCCAAAAAAAGAAAAAAAAATTTCAAGTTTGTTTTTAAAAAATATTTTCAATTTCAAAATTTCATTTATTCACTCTACCCTCGACCCCCACCCACCCACGCCCCTACCAGCCCCCCCCTCCACCCCCAAAAAATAATTTTAAGTTTGTTTTTCAAAAATATTTTCAACTTCAAAATTTCAATTTTTCACCCCTACCCTCGACCCCCCCCCTTCACCCACCCCCTACCACCCCCACCCCCCAAAAAAAATTTAAGTTTGTTTTTAAAAACTATTTTCAATTTCAAAAATTATTTTCTACTCTAGTAAAAATAAAAGATATTTCTCAAAAATATTTTTAATTCATAAATCAAACACTAAAAATCTTTTTCGTAAAATATTTTCTACTTCCCAACCAAACATGAGAAAATAAGTCAAAAATCAACTTGTTTTCCAGGAAAACATTTTCTAGGAAAACATTTTCCTTCATACCAAACACACCCTAAGTCTCAAAGGGATTTTCAGAGAGTTCAAATGCTTAACTTTCATAAATTTGGCTTCATTGCTCTTCTTGAACCTCTCCAACAAGTCAAAAATATTAATAGTTACAAAAGGAGATTGAGAGCTACAGAAGTCTTTCATTATACCAATGGGAAAATATGGATGTTTATCAATAATGGTTTTAATGCCACAATCATCAGTAACTCAGATCAACAGATATCATTAATATTAAATAATCATGGTTTGGATATAAAGTTTCAGTCACAATTGTCTATGCAAAATGTGACAAGGAAATACGAATGGACTTATGGGATAGTTTGTACTCAATATCTTATGGTATGACGACACCTTGGATAGTTGGAGGAGATTTTAATGCAGTGCTTAATGGGGAAGAAAAGATTGGGGGTATACCAGTGACTGCGGCAGATGTTGAAGATTTTCAAACATGTATTGGGTCTTCTAATTTATCACAGATTTCTTTTAAAGGGAGCCCATTTACTTGGTGGAATGGGAGAGCTGGAGAAGATTGTATATTTGAGAGGCTGGACAGAATCTTTCAAAATACAAAAGTTCAGAGGTTATTTTCTCAGTCTGAGGTGGAGCACCTTCCCAGGACTGGATCAGATCATGCACCTTTGTTACTTTGTTGGGAAAACAAAGTTAATAAAGTTAGGAAGTCATTCAAATTTTTGAAGTTCTGTAGAACATAAGTCTTTTCTGGATGTAGTAAAAAAGAATTGAGATTTAATTTATTCTGATAATCCTTTTCTAGACTTTAAGAGAAAGAGTAAAAATATGTAAAAGGCTCTTTCCCTGTGGAGTAAAGAAACCTTTGGTGACATTTTCTAGCAGTTGTTGATAAGAGAAGAGGCTGCTAGAATTAAGGAGCAGCACTTTGAAGAGTCTCCTACTCAGGAGAACAGAATTATTATGCAAAGGGTAAAAGCAGAATACACAAAGTATCTTCGGTTAGAGGAAATGTATTGGCAACAAAAGGCTGGGTATGACTAGTTTGAAAGTGGGGATCGAAATACTATATTTTTTCATAGTCTAGTAAAAGGAAGGATAAATAAATTAAAGGTGAATAAGATTATGAATGAACAAGGCTGCTGGCTGAACCAGGAGGATGATATTACTGAGGAGGCTATTAATTTCTATCAGAAACAATTCACTCAAGAGAGGGATTCTACCGACTTTTCCTTATTAAGTCATATTCCGAAGATGGTTACTGAAGAAGAAAATGGCTTGCTAGGGGGGATTTCGGGAGAAGCTGAAGTGGAAAAAAATGTTTTTTCTCTAAATAAAGATAGTACATGTGGGCCAGATGGACTTTCTGGGATTTTCTATCAAACTTGTTGGGAGATTATTAAGCAGGATGTGGTAAGAATGGTTTAGTTCTTCTTTCAAGGAAGTTCTCTCCCAAAATCTATCACTCATGTTAATGTAGTTCTTATTCCTAAGAAAGAAAATATTCAAACTTTCTCAGATATGAGACCTATCAACTTAAGTAATTTCATCAACAAGATTCTCTCTAAAACTCTTCATGATAGACTGGGAGGTATCTTGCCTAGATTGGTGTCTGTTAATCAATCAGGTTTTGTTAAAGGGAGAAACATAACATAACATATTTGGTTAGCACAAGAGATTGTTTCATATATTGGCAAGAGAGGAAAACCTTCTAATGTGATAATAAAATTAGATATGGCTAAAGCTTATGATAGAGTTTCTTGCTTTTTCATGATAAAAGTGTTAAAAAGATGGGGTTCTCTAATATGGTAATAGATGTGGTATGGAGATTGATTGCTAATAACTATTACTCTATTCTGCTTAATGGGCTGAATTTTGGGTACTTTCATTCTACTAGAGAAGTGAAACAAGGAGATATTTTATCACCAGCTCTCTATATCATGACTGTAGAGGTGTTGTCTAGAGCATTAAATCATATGTTCGAGGATGATTTATTTGTTAGGTATGGCTTGCCAAAGTAGAGTACTAATTTGAATTATCTTGCCTACGCTATGACACCATTATATTTGCCTCATCTAATGAATATTCATTGAGGAAAGTTATGCAGGTATTACAGCAGTATGAATCTCAATCAGGATAGAAGGTAAACAAGGAAAAGAGTTTTTTCTACACGCATCAAAGTACTTCTAGGGCTATTACAGAGAAGGTAGGTGATATCACTGGAATGGCTAAGGGCGTGTTTCCTTTCAAATATCTGGGGTGTCCTATGTCTCATTCTAGAAAAAGAAAGGAGCATTTTGCTGAGCTGATTGAGAGAGTTCGAAGCAAGATTCAAGGTTGAAAGGGGAGGATGTTGCCCTTTAGAGGAAAGGAGGTACTAATAAGTAGTGTTCTACAGAGTATACCCATATATACTCTATCAACCATTATCCCTCCTCAATGTGTCTTTAAAGAAATTCATAGATTGTTGGCAAGATTTTTCTGGAACTCTAAGGATGTAGGAAGAAGCAAACATTGGGTATCCTGGAATTAAGTGTGTATGCCTAAGCATGAAGGTGGTTTAGGGTTTAGGTCTTTGGTTGACATTTCAAATGCTATGTCTGCAAAGCTGTGGTGGAAATTTAGAACACAAAATTCTTTGTGGTTTAACTTTCTTTGGAATAAATATTGTAAAAAACAAATCCCAACTTTAGTACAATGGAGAGGAGGGTCTCAACAATGGAAAGGTATATTAATGCAAAGGGAAAAAGTGGATCAAAACTTGTGGTGGGAACCTAAGGGAGGTACATCTACGATATGGTATGATAACTGGACCAATTTGGGGACTTTATTCAAAAATCCATCAAAGGTTGTATCTTGCCATCCTTTAACAGACATATCTAATTTTTTAAATGAAGATGGTTGGAACTTGGAAGTAATGCAAGAGATGTTGCCTCAGTATGTTGTGGATCATGTAGAAAAAGAGATGATGTATGTACAATTGGAGAATACTGGGGACTTCCCTTGGTGGACAAGAACCAGTAATGGGAAATTTTCAATAAAAAGTGGTTGGGATATGTAGAGACAAGAACATCGAGTGAATAATGATCTACAAAGTATTTGGGTAACAGGTCTGTTTAAAATTTCTTTTTTGAGCTGGAGGATTTGGTTGGGTAAAATTCCAGTTGCAGCAGTTATGAATACTTGGACTCCACAAATCCCTCAAGATTGTGGATGTTGCCAAGTCCCAATGAGAGAAACCATTGAACATTTGTTCTTGAAAGGAGAAATTGCAGAGAAGGTGTAGAGTCATTATTGTAATGTTGCTTGGTTGATAGATAATAGATTGAACTTAAAACAAAGTATAAGGTTGTGGAAATAGCAGGAAGGAAATAGTAGATCAATGGTAGTTTATCAGATTGTTCCATTTGTTATGTTATGGGGTATATGGAACATAAGGAACACGGTGCTTCATGGTGTCAAATATCACCTCGAAAAAATGATATGGAAAATTTATACTATTTTGCGCAGATTTATAAAGATAAGGTGGAAAATGGAGACTGAGGGGAAAAGGTGGTCAGAATTAGTAGATCTGTTACAAGATTATAAGGTGGAATACTTGTCAAAAGTGGTCAGTTGGTGTCCTCTGGATTTCAGATGGTTAAAATGTAATACTGATGGGGCATCTAGGGGAAATTCTGGACTAAGCTCGATTGCTTTATGTATAAGAGACCATACATGGAATTTGGTGGTGGCTAAAGGGAGACGAATTCAAGAAGTTAATAGTGTGAAGGCGGAAGCAATAGCTATTAAGGAATGTCTTGAATATTGTCATAAAATGAAGTACCAACAGATCATCTTGGAGACTGATTCGTGGAGCTTGGTTCAGATTTTACAAGGAACATGGGAGAAGCCTTGGAGTATGATCTTGGAGATCAACTCAATTCAGTCTCTTCTAAGAGTTCTAACAGTAAGAGTAGTGCACTCCCTTAGGGAGGGCAATACTCTAGCTGATTTTTTGACTAACCTAGCTTTTGATTTTGCAGGAGAAATTAATTTCAATACAGCAGACCAGTTACCAGCAAAAGGAAGATGCATACTAAATATGGACAAATTAGGACTACCCAATATTAGAAGAATTGAAAAAAAAGTAATGTATACTGATTAATGTGTTCAGGCTCATCAAGGTTTCCCAAGTCAAAACGAATGCTAATTGATGAACAATAGTAAATGAAAGCTTGAATGAAGTTATTTCGAGGGGTCTTAGATTTATCAGTTGGTGAGAGATTGGGGTGAGATAGAATCCAAACTCCGCTCAAGTTTCCCTCAACTCATGTTGTGTTGATTGGCGTCTCACTGATTAGAGTGATAACCTAAAACAAAGTTGTCGAAATTAGTATATACTGATTCTCATTTCTTTATATGTGATGGTGGTATTAGCTTCTTATAAGCTCAACCCATCGATCTAGAGGAATGAGAAAAGGATGGGTATGAGGAGAGTTTGAAGAAACTTAGCTGTATTTGAAGTGCCAAATAATATGAGCTTTAGAACTACCTGAATCTGATTTTCAGATTTCCAGGTTGTTTCTTTTGCTGTTGTAGTTGGGTGTGGACGATCAAATGGTGAAGACAACTTTGAATGTTGTCTTTGCTGTAGTTGGTCTTGGACGGTCAAATGGAGAAGACAACTTTGAATGTTGTCTGTTTGTTCTAATTTCAGCAGTTTGTTCTTGGATCGGGCCACTTTTGGGCCCGATCTAATGTACATACTATTTATTTTTTTTACTTTCTAATAAATGGGCATGGCCCAAGCTTTAATTTTTTTTATAAACATATTAAATATATTGATAGTTTACACTATTAATATAATTTAGTAGTTTATTTTATTAAGTGTGATGTGTCATTTTCATGGGTGTTGTTATTAATGAAATATTTTATTTACCTTGTAATAGATAGCTTCATCACATTTGTACCTGTTAGGGTACTAATTTGTACAATGTCGATATTGCTTAATAAGGCAAATATAGCATTATTTGATTTTTATATTTAATTTTGACCTCCGACAAAGTTTCGAGGGGATTTGGAGCAAGAAGCTAAGGGAATTTTGGTCCTCACTAATTCTATATATTGATGTTATTAATTAAGCTTACGCTATTCACACAGATTGAGAATTATTTTTGGCAAATAATTAATAGTCATTGTGAGATTCAACTGGTGTTACAAGAACATGTTTAATGCTTTAGTGTAAAAAGATTTGCGCACGTGAGCGAAGGGCCTAATGGGTAAAAGGTGGATTTGTCCCCTGGTGCGCGAGATATATGTGAGGCCTAATCCAATTTTGTTTTTGGAAAAACTTAATTTCATTCTTTTGAGCTTAATACAAAAAGTCCAAATTCATTCGTAATTGATCATAACAAAGATTTAATTTTGTTTGTTTGATTTTTCCTTGTAAATTCTAAAACATTTTATTATAGGATAAAATTATATTTGTATCATTTCAAAGATCTAGCAAAATATTCTTTTTCCTTTATCCATACATATTCATATTTTTGAGATTACGTAAGGTATGTTGTTAAAACCACACTTGCATTTGTAAGTTTTTATATTGAAATAATCTTGAATTCATCAATTTTAAATGACATATAACATAATAGTTCTCTAATTCTTGAATTTATTAATAGTTATCAATCGATTGTTTATACCATATTATATTAACTTACTATGATTAAATAAAACTAATGCACATAAATTATTATCTCCGGCTTAAATTTTTTTCTTTGGGTGAAATTCAAATTTCCTTTATAAAAGCTTTGTTAACTGCATATAACATGTATGAAATATTTAATTTTCTGATTTAAGCGTTAATTTGCACCACCCTAATAATTAAGAGCCGGCGTCTATTTCTATTATCCAAATTAATAATTCTTGATAAGTAAGATCAATTTGGGGGGGGGGGGGGTGAATTTTAACCATATATAAAATATGATTGTATTTGTATCATTCAAAAGATTTAGTAAAATACTATCCTTTTTTAATCTAAGAAAAATCACATTTATGATATTCTGCAAGATATTATTCTAAAATCATGCTTGTAATTATAGTTTTTGTACATAAATAATTTTTAATTTATCAATTGTTAAATATAAAATACATAATATTTTTCAGCATACTGTATCAATAACTATCAACCATGTGTTTATATGATAAAATAATTCAATGAAGTATAAATATGTACAATAATTTATCATGATAAAAACTTTTAAACAAGAAATAAATATTCACAAGTCACAACCACATGAGAATTATAAATTAATTTATTTTTGTCTCTTGATAACACACTTTTATTTTGTGTTTTATCTTATTACAAAAATAATTTTTGACAATACTTATTTTAACCAAGCAATGTTTAGCAAAATTAATCTTCAAATTTCTAGTCAGCTCAATCCGTTCCTCACTTGTTCTTTCTACGATTGCCTAGAAATTAAATATAAAAAAATTATTACTATATTAGCAAAAGTGTGTGTGCGCACGGGTGTGCATGCATGTGTGTTGTGTGTGTGCGCGCGTACACACGTGCATGTGCGCGTCCGCGGGTGTCCATGCGTGAATAAAAATAGCTTACGAAAATTTGAATTCTACGTCAGAAGGCGTAAGAAAGGATCCATCTTTTGACCATTCTCAACATAGTTTGGATTATATAAAATGTTGGAATTGGTCTGCACCACCAATTTCACATTTCAACACATAAAAAATAAAACATAGTCTAAGCACCCATATATCCATTCCCTCAAAGTTTGGTACAAATTAATAAGAAAATAATATTATATGAAATGAAACTAAAAAAGTATATAAGTATGTTGAACGTGAGCTCTTGTTGTGGAGGTACTTGGTGGAACATTTGGATATTGAGGATTTGTCTCGATGACTAATCACTGCATTCATTTGATTAAATAAAATAAAAATAGAAAACGTTACCACCCTTGAACAATTACAAAAAATTAATATTTTAATATTAAAATAATTGTGTTTGCTTAAAAAATTACTTGCATAAACTAACTTTGTCGCGGAGTCGCAGACCATTGCTTTAAAGACGGGGTGAAATCTTTCTTTCTCTTGGACGAGCATAAGGCTCTAATCCCTTTGTTTACGACCTCCTATCAAGATAGCACTGATGCGATCTCCCGCTGTGAAGTAGGAGGTTTTCACCGACAGAGCGCAATTAGACCACAAATTAGGTTTAAATGTATACTCCTTAACGCAAAGAGAATACATGTGTTAATCTTGACACTCTTCCTCGATTATAGCTTGCAAGTATTTATTTAACATAAAATGTAAGTTGCCTAATACAACTAACAAACCCTTTTATGGTTCTTTCGTCATTATAATTTGTTTGTATAATAATAATTTTCTTAAGTAACATTGTACCCTTGTACTACGAGCTCTCACAGATCCTCTTGAAAGAATGGCGGCCCTATTAGAGTCTGCATTGTAGCCCTGCTAATAGAGGAAACATAGAAGTAACTTTAGAAATGATGAATTAGGGCAATGAAGTTTTTTAATTGTGACTTTATATTAGTCATTTGATTGTAACTTTATAACTTTATACTATAAACAAAAATGATTTCGAAAAAAAGAAGAAGATGATATCTCTGAAGGTAAATTTTGGCCCAACGTAAATGAGAGGTCAGGAACAGGATTAAACACAGGCCTAGACAAGAAAAAAAACATGCATTAGTTATTCGTAGAAATAATATTAATTGACACTTGAAATTGTTCTGAATTTTCAAAAAGACAATTTTTACACAATCTGCATTATCAATATACAATACTTTTTCAACATGATTTATCAATAATTATCAACTATGTGTTTATATGATAAAATAATTCAATGAAGTATATATATGGACAATAATTTATAATGATACAACCTTTTAAACAAGAAATAAAATATCCACAAGTCACAATCACATGAGAATTGTAAATTAATTTATTTTTGTCTCTTGATAACACACTTTTATTTTGTGCTTGATCTTATTACAAAAATAATTTTTGACAATACTTATTCTGACCGGGCAATATTTTGCACAATGAATCTTTAAATTTCTAGTCAGCTCAATCCATTCCTCACTTCTTATTTCTACGATTGCCTGGAAATTAAATATAAAAAATATTAACATATTAGCAAAACTGTGTGCGTACGTGTGTGTTGTGTGCCTGCGCGTGAATAAAAATAGCTTACGAAAATTTGAATTTGATGCCAGAAGGAGTAAGAAAGGATCCACTTGTTGACTATTCTCAACATAGTTTGGATTATATAAAATGTTGGGAATTGGTCTGCACCACCAATTTCACATTTCAACACATAAAAAATAAAACATAGTCTAAGCACCCATATATCCACTCCCTCAAATTTTGACACAAATTATAAAGAAAATAATAATATATAAAATGAAACAGAAAAAATATATAAGTATGTTGAATGTGGAGCTCTTGTTGTGGAGCATTTGGATATTGAGGATTTGTCTCAATGAATATTCTATGCATTCATTTGATTAAATAAAAAAAATAGAATATATTATGTCACGACCCAGACCATCGTGATTGACACCAACACTAACCCTTCGGTGGGAGAACCACTACTACAACCCAATAAAAGCAACTAAACCAAAAAATAAAATATTTAAGTTACGGAAGCAAGTTAAATAGCTAAGACTGAAGTTCCCATAAACTTCCAAAAGATCTAACAACTAAACAATGCAGAAAAATACACCTAGAACCTGAAAGTCAATGTACCAAAACATCTAAAGGAAAAATGGGTACAACCCAAACTAAACATAATATATCTAAAGAACTAGTCTAAGTTCGAAATGTCGACATAAACAAAAAGGAGAACCCATGGCAGCCCAAAAGAACTGGTTCACCTTTAAATTCGATCAGCGATCTTCTAAGCGAGGTCTGTCAATAGCCGCAGAAAGATGCCCTGTGCTCAGCAAAATTAAGAGTAAGTGCAGTATCAGTACACAACTACAGTGTACTGGTAGGATCATGTCACGCCCTGAGCTACCCCCGAGACGTGGACACGGGACCAACAAAAAAATTCGTTGGTAAATTGATCAAATTGGTTGGCAAATTGAGTTACCAACCAAATGCTAACTTATATTAATCCGTTGCTAAAAGGCACATCAGTAAATATTACCAACCGATTTTAATTTGTTGGTAAACTTACCAACCAAAAATCAGTTGGTAAACACCCAAAGATGTTGTTACAAAATTTTGAAACATGACCCTGAAATTTCCGTTGGTAAATTCACCAACTTTAGTATATCGTTAGTACCTTTACTAACGAATTGAAAATGAGTTAGTAAATTTTTTTCTTCATTATTCGATTCCGTTGGTAATACGTTGGTAATTATAGTAACAAAAGTTTGATAGTAAACTTTTCTAGATACATTGGTAATTGGTTGGCAATTTTAGTAACATAAAATTTATGTTGGTAATTTACCAATAAATTTTAAATACTATTTTTTTTATGATTTTCCATCCGGTGTCCGGTACCCACATTGGTGCCCGGCTAAATTCAGATTCAGGCCGAGAAGTGCCACATTGGGGAGTAAAGCGCTCCCTAACAAAGTAGACTCCGTACCCAAGAAGAATCGAACCTGAGACCTTTTGGTTAAGGATGAAGGAGTACTTACCACTCCATCACAACCCTTGTTGGTAAT